CAGAGAAAGAACAATAATTTACCAGAAAAGCTAATAAAACCCCAGTTCTGTCGTCGGCACTGATTAAATGACTCCGAATTAGACCACGAACACGAACCAGAAGAAGAAGACGGAAAATTGTTATTTAAATTCCTTTTCCTTCGGCTGATAAATCGAGGCAGCAAAGACGAGGAAGACGTCATTTATACAAGGGCAAATAGTACGTGATAATTACTAGGCAGAGTCTAGAGAGAGAAAGCCTATCTTTTCGGCGAATTGTTTGAAATTGTTACGTCAGTATCTTCCCCATTCTTGAGTTTATCCTCTGCAGAAAATACAGTGTGCCCATACTCCCTGTCCATTCTCCGCCATTGGAGGAAGCATTATTCATTTTTGGACGCATGTGAATGCTGATCAGCAAGGAAGTCGAGGAGACAAAAATCTTTTGTCGCTCGACCGATGCTGTTTTCACGAAACGCGATTTTAATATTCCAAAGAGAGGTGTGTCAAGTAGGCCCCACCTAATAATACGTCCATGTCATTCCACATCAGTAAAATTCTATTTCCACTCCGTATTATTCCTACTACCACACCACTGTACAACCTACTGCAGCGAAACTTTACTCTGGAATTACATCTTTTGGTCACTATATCCAGCTAAAAGTCATTGTTTGAAGAATCTGAAAGCTCAACATCAACAACACGAAAAACACTTGTACCTCCGTAAGTCAGAAACCTTAGCTCTTCAATTCAAGCTCAGAGAGAAAAATGGCTGAGGCAAAGGATCGTGAAAACTTCGTTTACATCGCTAAGCTTGCCGAGCAAGCTGAACGCTATGATGGTACGCCGCTGCGCACTTTTTGCCCTGCTGTCTTAATTTCTTTCATATTTTCATAGATCCGAAAGTTTGATGTTCTTCTTTTCAAATTGTTATCCAAGGGTTAATTTTGAGATTCACGTAGTATATCGGTAGTAAATATATATATGCCGTATTATTAGTCGAATGCTGTTATTTGGAAATAAAATAAAATGTTTTGTTGATCAATTTTCATCGCTTAGAGTGTTGGATTTATTATTTATTATTATTTATCTTTCTTGTGAAATAGGGATGGATGCTTTTAGCTACTTGCGTTAAGCGCTATGATTTTGAAATTTATTTGCCAAAGAACGGACTTTTTGTGTTGAAAGAGGAATGAATTCTTGTTTTTAAGCATCAGATTTAAAATCATTACCTATTTTGTGTGTGTATAGATGTATTTTGATATATCTAATCTCACTTAAGTTACTTGCTTAAAGAACATTTATTCCGTTTGGCATTTCAATGAATTCTTGTTCTATTTCTATGTTTTGTAGAAATGGTGGATGCAATGAAAAAGGTAGCAAAGCTTGATGTTGAATTGACAGTTGAAGAGCGGAACCTGTTGTCAGTTGGGTATAAGAATGTTATTGGAGCTCGTAGAGCTTCATGGAGGATTTTTTCATCGATTGAGCAAAAAGAAGACGCAAAAGGGAATGAACAGAATGTGAAGAGAATTAAAGAGTACAGACAAAAGGTTGAATCAGAATTGTCCAATATTTGTGGTGATATTATGACTGTGATTGATGAACATTTGATTCCTTCCTCGTCAGGCAGTGAATCCACTGTTTTTTTCTATAAAATGTAGGTATTTTTATTGGAATTGATGGGCATCTTGTGGTTTGATGTGTTTGCATAAAAATACGCAAGTTAGGGTTTTAATTAGGGATCTGATATTGGATTTTGTTTTAGGAAAGGGGATTACTACCGATATCTTGCTGAGTTTAAGACGGGCAATGATAGAAAGGAGGTAGCTGACGAATCAATGAAGGCATACCAGGTATGTCAATTTTTTTTTTT